TGCGCCGTGGACCTCCATGAACAGGTTTAAGAAGTTGTTAAATCTGTAAGAGATGTTTGTATGTGTGTGGTCTTGTGTATCACTGTAGTGCTGTATAATATTGACATTGTTCTGTAATTACTGGTGTGCAAGGAGTTGATAAGACAATTGGTCATGATATTTAAAAAATAAACTGAGGTCTGTGGGAGCAGGTTGTTTAATGTGAGCTTTCATCTGGCTCTGTTGTAACAACAAAACATCTTTTGGCAGGCGAACTGAAAGGTTTGTGGTGGAATAGAGGGTGATTTTTTTTTTTTTGGTAGGGAAAGAAATAAAATATGAAGTTGAGATTGGGAGTCTGAACCATTTTTTATACATTTTTTTTTTCCGGAGGTACAGTCATGGTCTTTGCACACACTGACCGTTGATAACATTTGCTTATGCCATCATTCCAATCACTTATTAATTGTCATATCTTTAAAAAAAATCAGTTTCCTTAACGGTATGCAAAGGTACACAGCATTATTTTTTTCCTCCACTGTTATGAACTGAAGTAAACTGACTTTTGTCTTAACTCGTTACTAATTGAGGGACTTTTCAATGTATGTGATCCAGTTTGGAAGCCCTGAATTCAGAAATAGTGCCTTGACGTATGATGTGATTGTTACCTGAATTGATATGTAAATATTATGTTTCACATGGAGCGCTATGTTTGCTCTGTGTGTCTTAAGCAGTTTTTCTTAACCCCACTTCCTTTGTGTGTACATGCTTTGGTTGTGTTCTGAAGTTTTATTTGCTCTGTGCTTCTTTTTGGGGTTTTGTAAGCAGGTCTTGTACAATTTGCAATGGACCCTTGGTGTCTGACAGCATGCGGGCAGATTGTACTGTAGCATTGTGCCGGGTCAGTCTCAGTGTTGCACAGGAATGTAAGGGTGAAGCCACCCCTCCTCTGCAGCAAAGTGCAGTTTAATAGTGCAAATCAGGAGAATAGTAAGATTTGAAAACTCATGCCTGGGGCTTAAAAAGTATTTCTTTGATCTGAAGTGGTTAACAGTAAATTACAGGAATGAGGATTTTTGTTTTAGAAATTATCAATAGTCATTATCAGGTAACAGTTGTGTTCATATCAGATTGCATTATTGATATGGCACTTGTCCCTTGACATTTTTTTTTTCAGCATAGGAGTACTACATTAATGATCATTTGTATCTTATTGCTGTTATCACTGTAGCACGGTGTGGGCAGGGTATTCCATTACTGTAGATTACATGCTGTCTGTTATTACCCCCTTTACAGGAATCATTGCCAAGTTGATTGTGTGTAAGAACCAGATGGTCAATTTAGAACTGCAGGCCTTTGCTGTGACACCCAGTTTACGATTTTGTAGTGTATTGCAATATATAATGTAATGTATATAGATATTGGAAAATACTTGTATAGTTTTTTTTCCTGTTCACTGCAAAGAGCTGTCTGTTTTTGCCATTGTAGTTGAGTAGTGAGGGGGTTTTCTTGCTGGCTGCATGTATTGGGGATATAATTAACAAGTGAACTGTTTTCTGTTTTCTAGCTGCTCTTCACGAAAGGCAAAATCCCTTATCTTCAGCTTCCTGCCTATTCTGACATGGCTGCCCTCGTATCCTGTGAAACAGTACCTGTTTGGAGACATTGTTTCAGGACTGAGTACTGGAGTAATGCAGCTACCTCAAGGTCAGTGAATGTCAGTGAGATGGTGGGTGGGTAGGAGAAATCATTACAAAAACGAAGTAAAAGGTGGCGTGGTGACACAGTGGTTAAAATTTCTGCCTCACAGCACTGGGTTCAGTTCTGGAACTTTGTGGCCTCCATGATCACATGCTCCACTTTCCTCCAAAGACATACTGGTAGATTGATTGGCTTCTGGGAAACCTGGCCCTGGTGCGTGTTTGTGTCTGTGTGAGACTGTCTGGGCTCCCCTGTGTCCCTGAATTGGAAGAAACAGTTAGAAAATGGATGACTGGTGGGAGCCATATTACGTTAAACAAAAATAATTGGCAGGGGTATTATCACTTAGTACTTTGATCTTGTAACATCTCGAAAGCTAAGCAAGGCTGGGCCTAGTCTGTA